CTTAAACTCAATCTTAATCTTAATCTTTAGCTCAATCTCGATCACAGTCCTAATATTAATCTTAATCTCACTCTTAATCTTAACTTGAATCTTAATCTTAGTCTTAGTCTTAATTATAATCTTTATCTTAATCTTAGTCTTAGTCTTAATCTTAATCTTGATCGTAATCTTAATTTTATCTTAATCTTAATCTTAATCTTAATCTTGATCTTAACCTAGATCTTAATCTTGATCATAATCTTAATTTTAATCTAAATCTTAATCTTATTCCTAATCTTAAACTTAATTTTAACCTTACTTTTATTCTTAATTTTAATCTTAATCATGATCTTAATATTTACCTCAACCCTTTATCTTAATCTTAATGTTAATCTTAGTTTTAATTGTATTCTTATTTAATCTTAATATTAAACTCAATCTTAATCCTAATCTAAATACCAACATCAAATTTAACTTTAACCTCAAACTGAATCTTAATCCTTATCTTAATTTAAATGTAAATCTTAGTCTTAGTACTAATTTTAATCTTAATCGTAGCCAACCACCCCCGCCGTCCCCGCTCTTCTTCTTTCGCTTTTCCGTTTCATTGGAGTTTCGAATTAGCGCCCAAAGAAGTTTCACTTCAAAGAGTAAATTCTTTAGATAAGGATAGTAACTATACAAAAGAGTAATATTTGCAAGTCCTCCTACTTAGATTTGCTTATTCTTGCTAATTTAGGCCTATTAGAAGCTAGACCCTCATCGACCTGGTTTTTCCAACGTTAAGGAGGCGCGCCTTTTTGTCCTAACACCAGCAGCGGGTACTGAATAGATTCGGCATCGAAGCCCTATAAAATATTGGTTTCGGTAGCTCTGATAAACGGCTCGCATTCTTTTTCTTCCCAATCGCAGCTTGGCCTCGTATGCGTGACGTTAAGCGTAACATTCAATCCAATTCCTTTCTCGCCGGCGATATGCTGAAAATGACAAATACGGCCGTATTCCTCGCGAGTATTGATTTGTTTAGAAGCGTTTTCTGAGAGCAGAAGAGAGAGTCGAATATAAAAGACACTGGCTGCTCGTTGAGGTTTTAGCCTTCATTATTCGGGTGTTGCTTCCTTTAGACAGCAGAATAGGAGACACTGCCTTTAGCCTCCCTAAAGAGTCCTAAAACGACCTAAGTTATGGAAGTACCTATTATGGATGGGCTGGCTGTTCATAGACGAATGAAATTGAACTGATCTTTGTATGGGTGAGGTCAGGCACATAGATAGAATATATTCTGACGTTTTGTCGTCATCAATGCAGAACCAATCATCCTGACGTAGTGGTGACACCGGTGGGGTGCATATGAAAAAGTAATAGGGTGTGACCAGCTGTTAGATACCCAAAGACTAACCTGATACATATAATAATAATAATATCCATCGATACCGTATTTACCCACTCCAACAGTGAAGTCGCCATGCAAGATTTTTATGTTGTAGCATGGGCATTGCTCAGAAATTGTTGAAATTTTTCAATTGAATCGACTTTTACGAAACAGATTCCAAATCTTCACGTTAAGGCGGTATGAAAGATACTGCTGAGAGTCCAGTTTGAGTGCCTTGCGTCAACAACTACTTAATTGAGATAGGCCAGCCGAAACAATCACCGAGAATTTATAAAAAGATATCACTAGACAGTGCAAAAATTAATGCAGCTTGTCTGGAATTTCATATGCATCCGCATTGGCCCTGACTCTTTTCCGTCAGAACATTATTTTGGTGGTCTCTTTAGAGAAGTCAGAACCACATATTAACTTTGTATATCACTACTACTTTCAAATTTAACAGAAGTATTTTAAAAAAAAAAAACAGATATGTACAAAATATTAAATTTTTATGTGATGATCGCTTTTACACTTCAAAATTAACCTCAACTCACGTACTGGCAACTCTGTTCTTTCATATGTATGTATGTGTTGCATAAAGTGTTCATTGTTTTCGTTTTAAACTTGTTAACTTGCTTGTTATCTACTCATCTTGAATGGAACAAAACGTTTCGCATGCTCTTCGTGTTTGTATGTACGCTTGACTGCTTATATTCATCATAAGTGCATACATACATAGCATACATACATATGTATAAGAAAGTATCCACAGCCTAAGTCAAGCTCAAATAGGCAGCTCTCTTCGTAAAGTATTTATATATTCTCATCGTCGCAGTGATTCATTATGGAATATCCAAAGCATTTGTCGTTGATGGATTAGTGTGGGGAAATCCATTCACTTTCCTCCAAAGTGCAGTATCAGGCATTTCTTTCTAAAGCATAACTGCACAACAGGCGGTAGAATTGGAATGGTATTTGTTTTCTTTATTTTTTTAATTGAAAATTATTTGAATGGCGAACTTCCACAGACTGCCTCCTAGTTTTTCAGTAGCAGCAAAGGCAAATAACTCTGGATGCTCTAAAGCTGTTAAGAATGTCGCTTCCTCATTCAGGTCCAGACAAGCAACATTGAAAGCCATCGAAAAGTTTATGCTAAGTTCGATTTGGCGCAGACTAATCAATAGCAATTAGTTCTACACATCCCCGGGCGACTTCAAGCTGGTGATGATGCCTCTTTGCAGGGCCTATAATGAAGAAGTATGCAGGTTCCTCACCATTTTTGCGCCTACGAGCGCTTGGTGTATCTCAAAAAAATAGCAACCGGCCCTGTAGAACAGTTGTGCCGAGTCCGAGGCCAAAAGCCCTCAACTGCTCAGCGCTGGGTGGGGCCAGAATGAGGTTTTTAGGCAAACCTTTTTTTTCTATTTAAGAGAAACTCCTAAGTTATATAAACCCATTTAACGGTTCAAAACTGGACAACAATGCAGGAGTTGAGTCTCACAGTTGGGGGTGGAAAAGTTAAACCGCCTACCCAATCAAGCTGAGTTGTTGTGAGACAGCAGACAGTTGAATATTCACGAGTACGCATAAGAGAAGTCATAGTACTCTGCATCTTCTCAGATAGTCAGGCGGCACTCAAAGCACTTGACTCAGTCACATGTAATGGAAAAATCGTATCTTCATTGGGTACGAGTGCCGAGGTACGCGGGGAGGTTAGGGTTTCTCCTAACGACTTCTGAAGAAAAGCCAGAAATTTTGCAGCTCCTGTTATGACAAAAATGATCATCAGAGGAGGAGACATAACCAACTAATATTTGCTTGTTGTCTCTCTTATTAGGTTAAATTGCAGGTTGCGCTATTAAACCGGCACTTATTAATGCCGAACAACCAACAAACCTTTGAAATTGCAGATTCAACATTGGATTTTTTACAGCAGACACATTTCAGTCCCGTCTTCAAAACCGTGTATGTATGTTCATACTTGATCTGATTAAGAAGTTTTTCGTTTTTGATTCGTAATACTTCGACCTGATGTGCTTTGCTATTTTGCAGATTTAGGGTACTGCGCCATTTTGCTTCAGCGTTTTGTCCGAATCATATATAATTATCTCTAATTTCTCTCTTGAATAGTTCGAGGAAATAATAAATGTCTTTGCTCTGGATTCATCAATAAATGCCCTGACCTCCGACAATTCATCAAGATTCTGGTTTCCATAAATGTTCTTTACGAGCGAAATGTCTGTCGATGCCGGCCATTAAGGTAGTGTTATCATTCATCAAAGTTATCTGTTTTTTAAACCTACAGACCTCACAATTTTTTGCGGTCAGAAATAAGGGCGTAACTTGCCTTTAGCTAAGATAAGCAAGGAGCCAATAAAGAGGCTAGCCACGAATAGGTGATTGCGTATCTATTGCATTCCATGCCGTAAGAGCATCGAAAGAATTTTCTTTGGACATTGAACGATCAAAAGACCGGAAATATAGCTATATATGGTATGCATATTGACGGCTTCCACAGCGACCATGGTGGTCTACTTATCCCCGGATAACGGGGAGCTGTTCCTCGCCTTAAAATCAAGCGAGGTCACCTCAAAGCTGGTTTGGGATTCAGTTCGGCTCTTTACACTCTTCACATCCAGTAGCCGCGTTAACCTCGTTTGGGGTACCACCACCTAGAGGAATCATTGGCGATGCGAGGGAAAATATTGGCGCCAAGCAGGATATCCATAGCCACTAGACCCTTCATTGGCCTGCAATAGAGTTGCGTTAAGCGAAATTACTTTATGTAACTGCATTAAGAAGAAATTTTCTATATTTCTAGGCAAATACGGAAGGCACTTAATTGGCCGGACAAATCATTCATTCTATAAATATCCACAAGAATAGGAACTACTGTATCTAAGAAGGCACGATGCAAGAATTAGTACAAGCTTTCTTACTGATGACTGCAGAGTAACCAAGCACCATTCAAGCCTGCCAGTTGTTTGCGCCGCCGACCAATGCAGGTTGTCCCATGAGGTATAGAAACCAGCAGAGTACTTTATGTGTTATGTGCAATTTTGAAAGCCTTGCCAATAGGCACAGATTTCACTTCCAAGCATATTCCATGGATAATATAGACAAAGTCAAATGCACTACAAATCCAAAGGCGTGCAGAGTTTGGTACTCATCGTAGGGATACAAGAGATCTTTAAGACTGCAGTGCCTCTCACCTGTTAAGATGAAACCCAGAAAACGACCAAAGCTGTAATAAGCGCAAAATTTTTATTTTTGAATTCTTTGTTCCAGAATTTACTTTGAAAAAGCGGCAAAGCTCTGAGATGGACCAAAAACCCACCAAAATTGGTTTAAATTTCGATTCATTTTTTTGTACCCTTTCGTTTTATCTCATTTCCATTCACTTTGGCCGGAGAATATGGCACGTGGCAAACTTTTAGCGAACTGAGACTTGTTCCAGCTCCTAAATAGCTCTGCAGTTTTGTAACACTCTCAGCCTTTTCGTGGCCTTCAAATCCTTCATGCCCAGAAACCCACCACTTGATATTAACGTTCCACAGCAGTCCCTTCTAGAAACCCTTACCTTGTACGGCTTGGAGAAAGATAATTTCGATAGCATAAAAAATGAAAATTACATAACCACAAAAATTAGGAGTGTAGTACGGTCCTTAATTTAATTACTTTACAATTTTTTTATTCAATCAAGCTTAAATTATGGTCTCATATTAATTAACAATTCAGTCCTTTAAGCATGAAATTCGGTGGTCCATAGTCATCTTATCTTCTACTACTAATTCAATCAACCCTGAAATACATACATATGTATATGGCAACAAATTCAACCACTGGGCCAAGCGACACTCTCAATATAGTCGAGAAATGCAGACACACGCGTATAAAGGCCAGGAGTGGTGCTACCGCAACTGAAGCCAGCCGAAATCACGCCAACCACACGAAATTTACTCAACGCCTCGTCCACTACCAAAATCAATGGACCACCCGAATCACCCTGGCATGCATCCTTGGTAAGGCCAGGATCATGAGCACACATCTGACTGCTTATAATGCCAACGCTGATTCTACGTGTCAAGCCATTGTCCACATAGCTTTCATTACATCTTTGGTTTTCGACGATAGTCTGGCGTGCCTTAAGCAAAATATTGGACTTTTCACGAGCTGCAATGAAAGAAAAAGGCTACTAAATGGTTTCCAACTTAGAAACATTAAGACAAAACTTACTTCTCTTATTGATTACACCCCAACCGGAGACATAAAGTACAGAGCTGGCTGACGGATCTTCTGGTTCGGTATAAAGACACGTCGGATATACATTGGTCGTGTAAACGACATCCGATTCCAATTCAAGCAATCCAATGTCGTTGTATACGCTGGCGCTCGAGTATTCCGGATGCACGTGAATTTTCTGCGGCAAAGTAGTAGTTAGCATTTTTTTTAGTATGTATAACAGTACAGAGTTTACCTTGATTCTAATCTCTACAACGTCCTTCATTTGTTCAGTATCAGTGAAATTGACTACCCCCATACGCACCGTTACCGGTTTCTGACGCGTCACCAAACAATGAGCTGCAGTCAAAACGAAACGTTTCGCAATCAAAGTACCACCACAATTGTATTCGATATCATCATCTGTAGTGCTCAGTCCAATCGCCACCATATGCGGATATTCGCCAAGTTCAACGGGTGTACCGCCTAGAATGTGCGGTGTCAGGAGAGGCTGTAACTCAGCATCGATTTCAGCGCAGGCTTAAGAATTTAAAGAGAGAGGGAGAGAGATAAAGCGTGGAAAACAGGATATAATACATACACATATAGAGAGATTCAAGCGTGATGCAGACAGCAATTATTTGTCGTATGTTAATTTTGTGCTACTTTTTTCCAGACAATTTTTACTCCCAGAATGCGTTATCTCACGAAACAACGAGGTCAAATGCCCACCGATATCTTTAGATTTGTCGCCATTGGACTTCTTTTCTGGGGCTGCGTGGCCGTAATTTGTCTATGCCAATCAACCCGAGACGATTCCCGCGCTGCAGAAGGAAATCACTATGCCAAAAAGGGCACGGAAAATTTCAATATGCGCATTCTGTTTTGCTAAATGAATCGTGGTAGGCATTTAACGGATATTCTGTTTCATACATAAATGCCATAGACTAAGACACAGGATGAAATAAAACAAAATCATTTCGACAAATTTGGCTGTGTTATATTTAGGGACCAAAAATAACCCTTGAATATCCAGATCTCTATTTTTCGATCAAAAACAATGTCAAATTTATATTTTTATTTTTTCGATCAAAAATAATCGCTATTTTTTTTTTATCAAAAATAATGGTTATTTTGGACTGACATTTTTTTCGATCATTTTTACCCATTATGATGGAGATTGCGTTTTAATGACGGATTTAAATCTTTTATGATCTAAAAAATTAAAACTAAAAATAAAGGTAA